TTATTATTATTATTATTATTATTATTATTATATACTGCATTGCCCTAAATGGGAATGTTGTCCAAATCCCCAAAAAGCAAAAGATTTGAAGGAAGTGGTTAAATGTCTTATTCTGTTGCATTTAGCATTGAATGCAGTGTTTTTTTTACAGTTGTAGCTCAAATGTATTGGGTTTTCCAGACTCTTAACCTATTTAACGCTGATACTATGCTCATGGAGAGTACCATTCCAACAAAAATTTCCATTAACAGAATACTTGATGAAATTAAGTTGTACCACAGTTGATACATTTTGTTTGGTGTGGCAAGGCTGCTAAGTCTTTTCAGACTAATATTTTGATGCCCTGGGTTATATTTTCTGCTTAAATGAGTGTTTGGTTGCATTGAAGAAGATCTGAACTCTAACCCTAACTACCCAAACCCTTAGCTAGGGTTAGGGTTAGTATTGTTAGAAAACATAGAGGATGTTTGATGGCATGGCTGTGTTTTAGGGGGGTATCGGATTTCTACATGTTCCACAAACAAAGGCTTTGGGACTTCAGGAACTGAAGGAGGCTTTTGAACCAGCTCTTGAAGAGTGTGGGGTAAGTTTTTTTTTTATTTCTTATTTTGATGTCTTGAAGTTTTATCTTAACTGGTTCTTTGGTTGGTTGTTTCGTAGCCAAACAAGGCCATGGCGGCCTCCCGGGCCGGCGTGTGCCACTTCTTTCGTGTTAGGTTCGAGTATAGGGAGGGAGATATGGGAAGCACTCGGGTGTCCTTTCTCACTTAGATTTTTCACAGAAGGTATTGAAGGTGAGTTGGGGGTTAAAAATGCAGATATTAATTGTCTCATTACTTTATCTAGGAACCAGGGGTTTGATGTAAGCTTTAAGTCTGCAGGTTTAATGGAGTAATTTTGGGGTAAGATTCAGAGATCAACTTCTGCCCTAATAGACAAGTTTAAGTTTGAGAAGTTGACAGATTTATCAGGGAGGATGGCGATTGTGAGAATGTTTAAGGAGTTGGTGTCTGGAGATGATATTGCAACTTGGCTGTCTAGATTTTGTATGGTTAAGGGTGGGCCTGTGAAAGTTTTGGATGATGGCGGAATTTGGACTTGTGCGTGGCGAGTACTGGTAAGTCTGTATGAACACATAGGTGGGTATGGGGGATATAAGCACATACCTTCACAAATCGTATTAGGGGAAAATAGAGGCCTGGTTTTCTATCAGGGACAGCCGAAATTGTGTAGACGGTGTGGGGAGCTGGGTCATTTGGTGGAGGCATGCACACAAGTGGTATGTGGGAAGTGTAAAGGTGGGCCATAGTTTTGAGGAGTGTACAAATGGGAGGAAGTGTAATTTGTGTGGTAGTGGGGAGGACTTGTTTAGGAATTGTCCAAATTCTTTTGCAAACAAACTGAAAAAGGAAAATTTGATGCGGGCCTTTGTAGGAAGTCAGGTGGAGGAAGAGGAGAAGGGAGAGGAAAACTCAGAGAAACAGGGGGAAACTGGTAAAGTGGCTGGGGGAATAGTAGATGAAACTGAGGAAGGAGGGAGAAGTGAAAGTGCACAAGGTTTTTTTTTTCAAAAAAGTTCTAGTTGGAGGATAACTGATGAATGGGCTACGAGGTGAGGATGGCAATCTTAAGGTCTCAACTAAGGACATGGTAGCTACGGCAGAGAGTTTTTACGGAGATTTATTTGGACCGAAGAAGACTTTTGTATTATTGCAAGAGGGGTTTGTGAGGGGAATGCAAGAGACACGGAAGGAGTGGTCAAGCTTGTCTGCAGACTTGACCCTGGAAGAATTAACAGCAAGTCTACATACCTGCAAGTCGGGGAAGACACCGGGTATGGATGGACTTCCCCCTTGAGTTTTACAAGAGGTTTTGGGATATTTTGGGGACTGATTTGTGGAAGGTTTTAAAGGAATTCAATGATCTAGAAAAGCTGCCAGAGACCTTTAGAATGGGAGTGGTGACACTCCTCTATAAGAAAGGGGATCATACGGAGTTGAAGAACTGGAGGCCCATAACCTTACTGAACTGTGATTTTAAGTTATATGCCAAGTTTTTGACACTACGCTTGAAAAAAGCACTGGGAAGCATCATTCACCCAGATCAATCCTGTGCGGTGGCGGGGAGGCGTATCACGGACAACTTAGTACTGCTTCGTGACACCATCTGTTACGTGAGAGACCGAGGCATTCGGCTAAGTTTACTAAATTTAGACTTTGAGAAAGCTTATGACCTGGTCTCGCATGAGTACTTGTTTAAAGTGCTCGCAAGGATTCATAGAGAGGGTGGGACTGCTGTATAGGGATGTCAATAGCTGAATAATTGTTAATGTGTTTCTATCAAAAGCAGTGAGAATCAGCTGCGGTGTCCGACAGGGATATCCGTTATTGCCGATTCTCTTTGTGTGCTGTATTGAACCACTAGCACAGGCATTGAGGAGGGAAGTAGGAATAAAGGGAGTGGTCATTCCAGGCAGTGGGGGCCTAGAGGTTAAGACAGTATTACATATGGATGATGTGTCAATTTTATGTTCTGACTACAAGAGCATAGATCTAGCTCTGTGAGTCACTGAAGATTATTGCGCAGCATCAGGTGCAAAACTAAACAGAGACAAGTTGGAACTTATGCTTTTTAACGGTTGGTGTGAGGAGGTGCAAGGAGATCTAGGAGTTCGAGTTTGTACGGATAGTGTTAAAGTACTGGGAACCGTCTTTGGCGGGCAGGGGTCCGGGGACAGTAATTAGTTAAAACTGTGCAGAAAAAAAATAGGTTATGGTCCTTGCGATCTCTGACTTTGCAGGGCAGAGTACTGGTCATAAAGGCAGTGGTCCTAAACTTGATTTTGTATGTTCGCTTAGTGTTCTTCCCATCAAGATCAGTGCTAGCAGTACTTAACAGGCTTCTGTTTAGTTTTTTGGGGGGTTCAAAATGTGAGAGGGTCCGGAGAGAGGTGCTTACAAGAAGGGTGGAGGCAGGGGGTGTAGGGATGCCAGATATATTTTTATTCCTGATTTGTAATTATGTGGCTAGCCATTTTCGAATTGCCACTATGGGACAAGGGAAAGCTTATTTTTTAAGTAGGTTTTTATTTGGGTCATATTTGAGAAGGTTGGGTCTTTCTATTCCTTTAACAGTACCTGTCTCATTTGAGCTGTCTTATGCTTAAGGCAAAGGGCATTGGAATCAGAGGAACTGGCCGTCCTAGTGACTTCAGAAAAATCTAAGTGAGAAAGGACACCCGAGTGCTCCCCATATCTTCCCTCCCTATACTCGAACCTAACACAAAAGAAGTGGCACACCTCGGCCCGGGAGGCCACCATGGCCAAAAAAGCGAAACAACCAACCAAAGACCCAGTTAAGATAAAACTTCAAGACATCAAAATAAGAAAAAAAAACTTACCCCACACTCTTCAAGAGCTGGTTCAAAAGCCTCCTTCAGATCCTGAAGTCCCAAAGCATTTGTTTGTGGAACACATAGAAATCCGATACCCCCCTAAAATACAGCCATGCCATCAAACATCCTCTATGTTTTCTAACAATACTAACCCTAACCCTAGCTAAGGGTTTGGGTAGTTAGGGTTAGAGTTCAGATCTTCTGAACTCTAACCCTAACTACCCGATCTGCTTATGATTACAGGGATGAGGTCAGGAACCTGGTGGGGTGGTGCATTGACAATAATCTCTCCCTCAATTTCAGCAAAAGCAAAGTGCTGGTCATGTATTTTAGAAAGCAGGGTGGGGATCACACCCCTATTTACATCATTGGGTTGGCTGTTGAGATCGTTAGCAGCTTCACGTTCCTGGGTACTTTCATTGCTAATGATTTAACGTAGTCCCAGCGTGTAACTGGAGCTACAAAGAAGGCACAACAGTGCCTTTACTTCCTCAGACAGTTGAAAACATTTGGTCTATCTTCAACTGTCCTTACCATATTTCACAGGTGTGCTATTGTGAGGTTGCTCAGGTGTGGTATTACAATGTGGTTTGGCAGCAGCTCATTGTCTGACCAGAAGGCATTACAGGTGGTGATCAGGTCAGCCCAGTCTATCATTTGAATACACCTCCCCTCTATTTCAGACATTTTTACAACTTGCTGTTTCAGGTAGGCTGGAAGTATCTCTAAGGATACCAGTCATCCTGGTTTCTCATTTTTCTCCCCCCTTCCCTCTGGTAAGCGTTATAGGAGCATAAAGGCTCGGACTTCCAGATTCAGAGACAGTTTCTTCACGCAAGCTGTCAGATTACTGAACTCTACCCCTACCAGTGACTTACACTGATGTTTTTATTTCTAAGTTGTATGTTATTTAACTTGTTGTTTTTGTTGTTGCTGCTGCTGTTCTGTGTTTATGTTTTTGGTGTTTCCTTAATGTCTTTGTATTGAAGCATACATGCAAACAAGCATTTTGTTGCATTTGTGCATATGACAATAAACTGAACTGAAACCATGGTAACAAATTAATTGATGTTATAGAATTTTGAATTATGCACAAAGCCGGGAACTTTGTGAAAGTACTTTAAGTTGCTATGTTGTCTCAAATCCTAGGTCTCATCATGAGAAGAGCAGGAGTTCACTGTAATGACTAATGTCATGCAACATACAAGTGAATACAGGTTGTGCAGCATTAATTTTACCTCAGAAATGTTCCAAGTAGTATTTGTCAGCAAAACCCTCTCACAATCGAGTGCAATATTTCTGTTGGATTAAAAGAGGTGTATTCACAAGCCTTTGCAATGTAATAGGGCCACTTTACGTCATTGAACATTCTGTTGCCTTGTTCTGAATTGCAGACTATGGTGCAGCTCATAACTGGAAATTTGATCTATTTTGTGATGGAAATTGGAGGTTTTACAAGTTACTCTCTGTATTTTACTTTTATCGTTGTTTTAAAATGCGCTCATCAATGCTGAGTGCTTCTATCCCCGAAATATAAAAGTAGTGGTGCAGTTCTTTTAAACTTGAACTCAGGTGGGGCTTGATATAAGCCTATCATAAAACTAACCAAGAAACCTACTTCAAGACTAACTGTAACACTGACAAGTTCGAACTAAGTAGTGTATTTAGGACCGAGGAAGTATTCTGGAGGTCTTTTAAAAACTGATGTGTCATGGTTCATTAGATGAATAAGCAATTTGTAATTGCTCCTTTACAATAATTATGGTAAGATCAGTCAACATGAGCAAAACTACCTCCTCACAGATAACCATTGGTCTTTGTAAAACCTTTGTAAATGCTATACTCTTATTTCAGTCTCCCAGTCTCATGTTTACATTTCTGGAAGTCATCAGAGGATAAAGGTGGGTGGCATGAGAAGAATGTGCTGTTTGAATAGATAAGATAATCCTTTACTACTAAATTAAAAAAAAAAACAATTTTAGCATTGCTGGATTTTGCTGGTTAAACAGCCAAACACTGAATAGCCTGCCACTCCCCAAAATTTTCCAAGTGCAAACAAGCATACATTCCACTCTGTAATGTACTAAGTATTCAGAAAAGTTAATTTGAAAATACTATTAAATGTAATGTTTATTTCACCTGTTTCAACTCATTTTCACTCAATGAAATGTCAAGTTTGTCTTGTAGGAAATATGGTGAACTATTTGTTCATTTCTTTTATAAAGGTGTTTACTGATCACAATCATGCTGGATTGAGAGAAGGTCTAACCCTCTACCCTGCATAAGAATTGCCAGAGTTTCTTAACATTTATTGGTATTTTTTGGTGGAGTGTTTTTTTCCAGTTGACAATATTTAAATCTTTGTTTTATTATCCAGTGTTCTCCACTAAATAGAATTGTATTCTATACTTTAAAAATAATTGAATATATTTTCTCCAATATACATAGCTGTGCAACTGTAAAGAAGCAGTTGCTACCTTGTGATATATTGTAAATTGAGAGAAGACAACAATAAAAGATGGTATAGCTATTTTAGATAAACATTATGAAAGGTGCATAAACAGGATTAGAATTGCTTTTTGTAGGCTAGTCCTGTCAGCTGTTCTTTTCTACACATAATTGAAAAATTAATTTTTTGAGTTACCTGTAAATATTTTTTCTGATCAAAATGATTCATTTGCCTAGCAAAAATACAATACAATATCAAAACTAGAGATCAGTGTTGTAATGCTGCAGAACTACAATTTGAATACAATACTGGTCTGTGCTGTAATATTGTAATATGAAATTAACACTATATAGGTCGGTGCTGTAAAATTGCAATTATATAAATTGAATGCAGTATAGGTCAATGCTGTATTAAATACTGCAATTGTTCATTAGAAATATACAGGTTAGTGTTGTAATATTGTACTAATATAATTTAAATAGATCAGAAGTGTGATATTGCAATAGAAACATTTCAGGAGATCACTACTATAATGTAATTGTACTGTTTAAACACAACACAGCACAGTGCTGCAATATTACAATATTAGAAAAAATAGTATTCAGGTCAGTGCTGTAGTATTGTAATAACACAATTCAAATTCGAGGAAATGGCAAACGTATAATTTAAAAACATATATACAAAATATAATACATGTGGAACAGTAACGATACAATGTCATACAAATTAAATACAATTAAAACAGTGAAATTAAAAAAAAATTGACAAAGTAAATAGCCCCTGTTTTAGAAACCTACTTATTTTTAAAAAGCTACGTAACTTGGTATAAGAATGTCGTTGAAATAAAAATTGGTTAATAGAAACACGCAATAAAGACATGACACAGCATAACATCCTTTACTGCAGAAATTCAGGATGACTCAGCAACTGTCGCGACTTTGTCCCGTGACACAGTAACCTTAGTTACTGTGTACAGTACTGTTCTTGTCCAGCGATCTAGTATTTTTTTACACGGATCCTTACAAAACCTCCTCTCCGGGATTTCCTTCATGCCTCACCATTCAAGTGGGCGTGTCCATATCTCACCACTGCCTCTTTATCACTGAGTGAACCTTCTCTGCAGAGCCATTGGAAAGTTACAGTGAAAGACTCCGGTGGGGGGCTGCTGTCTGGAGTCAACTGGAGTGTTTGTTGTAGCTGTTGCTGTTCAAGTCTGGTGGTCGCCGCGCATCTTTGTTACGCACATGGAAAATCAAAGTGCCAGCGCCAGATTAATGCTGAACCATGCTACAACTCTGAACCTGCACACAGGGAACCTGGTGAACCGAAGCCGCCTAAAGAAGAAATGCCCTTCTTCGCCAAGTGAGGAGGTAGGTTGGTTAATCGTTACAGCAAGGTAGCGGAAGAGACGAGGTTAACTAGGCGCTTGGAAGCCAGACAAGTGAGTCTGAAGCGACAGGAAAGAGAGGGTGGCACTGGGCCTTTTTTAGTGAGGTCTGCGGCGTGGTGTTGGAGGGGGGTTACAGGGCTGTGATTGGTACGGGAAAACATTGTAATCCCACTGCGTTGAGGTCAGCAGGTGAATCCGGCTTCTTCGCCACCCGCACGGCACCTTTAGCACCTGTTCTTGGTGTAACGCCACCCTCAGCTCCTGTTTTCTGCTTTAAATCATTAGATCCCACTGTGAAAAGTTCGATTTCTGTTCACGTAAATTCCTGGAATATCGTTGTGATGGGATTAATGACTCGCTGAATACATTCTTCTGGTTTTGGGCTCTTTAGTAACATGATGTCAATATGAAAATATAAGATGGTAATATACACATGTTGTGAGCAACCCGATTAAAACAAGACTCGGTACAGTATGTAATGAGAATAAAATAACACCCAAAGTGATCAAGAGGTTTCTCTTTTAGGTAGTATAACGCACTGGATATATACATTATTAGTGCACTACTGTAATTAAAAGACGTGGAAGAGAAAAAAAAAATCACTTGATAAGCGATTTAAATGACCCGATTTATTAGATGACATGCACTTTCTCCTCAACAGTGATCCTGCTTACTAATTTAATATTCGTTTAGCTGACGTCATTGTCCAAGCCTATTTACATTCGATGCAAAATCCAAACTATAAAAAGAAACATCATATAGTCTTTAAAATACACCTGTGCTTTCGGCAGAGATTGTGTAATTGATGCATAGAAATAGCTCTTATTTTGGGAAAAACAAATTCGATGTTGATGCACAACATTATCTTTCTCCCTCTCTTTCAGCTCCAGGACTGCATTACAGCCACCCTGAGTGAGTGGTCTTCTAAAATTCCCTCTGCTGTGGACAAGGTGAGGCTGCTTGTTCTCTGTGGTGGCCTGTGTGCTGAGTCTTACAGCAGGCACCACTGTAGGTGGATATAGTAAGGCTCCTGTCTCACACTGTATCAGTATGAGCTATTCCAGGCTTTACAGAACTTTACAGTTCTCTACTGAGCCATTGTAACATGTGAGAGATTTCATACTTCATACCTTAAGGCTGCATTAAAATAATATTAAGAACTTATTCACTTGGTTTTTTTCACTGAAGTGAAATGGCTCAAGTCACAATATAATAGGTATTTTATTTCCGTGAGTCAAGCACCTGTCATTTTAATAAAACGTTAAATGGTACACACGCAGCAACAAATGATATATTGTCAAAAAGAAGGCATTTCTGAATGTCTTTGTTTGGGCATTTTTTTACTGCAATATAAACCAATCAAAAAGCTTGATTTATTTTTAAACACTTGGGGTTCATCCCTAAATCATTACATTTAGAAGAAGCCCCTTTTATCTCCCAAGTAAAAACTCTAAAGCTCTGCTAATTTTGAGCTATTTTTCAGGCAGAATTTACAGGTGATGCTGTTTGCTCGCATTTCGGGCTGTCATTTTAATAGTTTAGCTCTCGATTCGATTTTTTTTGTGGCTGAAAGGTTGCATTTGCCAGGTAAAAGGAGACCTGCAGAGGTGTGTGGGATGCAATGATGAAAATCAGTAAACTTAAAGTTAATAAAGCAATCTAAATATGAAGGGCCAAGATGAATGCTTGTGTCTAAATTAGGATCTATCGATGACTCCATTGCTACTAATTACTGTTTAAGGGGAGATGGGCAGATGGGGAAATTCACATAGAAACTGAAGAGACCTAAATCTAGAAATAAAATGAGGGCAGCTACATTGTTACCTCAGCCTCCTTACACGATTATATCCAGGCTTTTAGCAAATGTTTCATTTTTTTATTTGTGTTAAGAGGCTGAAAATGTTGTTTAAAGTGCTGATTTTGGCTTTAAATGTTTAAGATCACGGCTTGGAGACAGAAATTATGTCGTACCTGGCTGTTCTTACCAATGCGTAGTGATTAAAGTTATTAAAAATGTAATAGAAGAAAAGCTGATTTTCCCTTATATATTCTCCAGGAAGTGATCAGATTTCAACTGTTTCATAAAGTGCCTTAAGTAAAAACCATTTTTCTTTAGTTAAGTCTAAATCAGTTCCTTTATTTTTAGTTTCATGGAATTCTATGAATTCAGCAGAGTTGCTTTTTTTTGGTGCTGAAATAAGCAAATGACAAGACTTGCAAGAACGGAACAGCTCACATGACATAAAGAAACAAACTTTTTATGACTTATGCATTGTGTGCAAAGTACTATCTGGGCCCCTCTACTTCATTTAGAATGCAGTGTTACAAATGAAATATTCAAAACATTTGTTCACTGACCTGGCCTTAACGCTCCTTTATTTCAGGCTTTATCCAGTTTTGGTAAGGACCTAATTCTCTTAGAAGTGAACAAGGGAAATATTGTACTATTACTGTAGTACTGTGTATATTATCCCACTGTCGTGCGAAACATTCATGATGTTTAGGTGATCTCCTAGTGTATTTACCTCTTGTAAGCACAATGTTACTTCTCTGCGTGTCTGAATGCCTCAAGGAAAATAGTGTTCTTAGAACTTTTGCTTTTGCCCAGGATTGAATTAACATGGCTGAGATTTACAGTTTCTTATCGAATCAAAATGAAATCTTAATGCACTTCAGTGGTAAATGAAGTAGGCCCTGTGCTGTATGTAAAATGATTTAGGATCCTTTGGAATAAGAGTATAGAAATGCTGGGATTTATTTTTAATCATTGAGATTTTTTGGTATTGCTAATTATTTTTAGACAATGGGACATATGGCTGCTTTTGTTAAAATACTTTTTTTAATTGCTGGAACTTTAACATAGTTTAATTATGAACTACCCAGGGTGGGAAATAAGCAGTATTGACTACTGTATAACCAATCAGACTTAGGAAGAGGACTGCACTCAGACCAGTGGTATGAAATGATTTGATTGCTGCACTAAATTTGTTTTCTCTGATCTCCTTTCTGTGTATAAAATGCATAAATATTACATAAATATAAATTATTTATAACAATAGAAAAGCAAAGAAGAACATCTGTGATGCAGAAAATTAATGCAGCCCGAGATATTCTATAACTGTTTTCCATTTGAACATCGGAGATTGTTACATTGACTTGTCTTTTAAATAGTGCAAGTAGGTAGCTGTGTCAGCATGCGTAGGCTGCGTAGGCTGCAGAGAAACAAGTAAATATTTATTCCATGCTGAAAAAGAGAAGAAAGGAAACACGTCCCGGCTGTAGAGCCTTCTTCGCGTGTGAGAGAGGGTTTTCCTACACGAAGAAGGCTCCACAGCCGAAACATCATGTTTCTTTTCTTCTCTTTTCAGCATGGAATAAACCTTTACTTGTTCTCAATTAAATTTACAATCCTTAGATTTATTTGAGAAAATAAATAGCATTGTCTCTTTCAATGCTAAAGAGGTTTTAATCCACCTCACTGACTGATTCAGGCAGCAACAGTTCCATCAGAAAATTCACTTTCGAGTAAGTAATAATTGATATGGAATATCAGTGCTGAGAAGCATCAGCAGTTTAGCAGATTACTGTAGTCTTGAAAGGGTGAGTCTGAAACGGTTGTCTGCTGTGAAGTTTCACACTTAAGGTTTCCTTTATTGGGAGCTCATAATCTACTATGGGCTAAATCGTTTTATACGACTTCCGAAATGGTATGTCCCGAAGGGTATTTTGTTTCAAATACCAGTATGGATGTTTTATTCACTCCCCCCAGCACTTTTATTTGTAAATAATCAGTGGCATTCAGAGTAGACATACTGTAGTGTGTTGCCTGTTAGTTATAGCTCAATGAGAACTCTGTCCTTGACAACAGATTACCATCTGACTTCAAAGAGTGAAATTTTACATGTTGAAGTTCTTTGTTTTTAGATTTTTTTTTATTTTTGGTACATTCCTAGTCCTGCTTAAGAGACTGTCAGGCATCTGATTATTTTTAACTCTGTTTCTGGAAGGGTGCTTAGGTGTTTACATCTCTGTGAAAGTAGGGTAAATTTATTTGAAGATTTATATTCTTAATGTGTTGTTGTCATTGATTAATTTTAGGTTGATTTTGTTTCCCTCCCTCTCTGTTTCATACTTCAAAACATATAATGTATGCAGTGCATTGTTTATATACTCCAGGAGTTGTAGTATACCTTCGTTTACTTTTTTTTAGCTTTACTTTACATCTGTATTGACATTACATTCCACACTGAAGACTTAAAAGGTTACTATTCCGCAATGGCGTTTGAGACTAGTTTTAAGCCATTGCCTGAGTTTTGCTGAGGTCACCAAATCTGTTTTTATAGGCTCAGTCAGTACGTAGGGGTCTTACAAACACAAAGTGAAAGCTCATTAGAGTGTCATTCTGATGAAATCCTGTAATAAGACTGTTATCCAGAAAGCTCTGAAAGACAAATGGAGATGCTGGAAAAATAAGATAAAATTGTAGTCCTTCTTTCCTGTCTGTAAAATAATGTCCTTGTATATTAAACATCCAATAGAGTATTTGAAATTTCACCTTTTTGGAATTTTGTGCTTTTTACAATATTGCCATTTTTAATACAAATTTAGTAGTCTTAGCCTTTTTTGTCAAAAATTTATCTCAGAAGGTATTGCTTTGCCTCACAGGTATTGTTTTTCTCACACAAGTTAATTTCAAAACTTCATATCCCCACCTGGGCTGTGATTAGAAGGAAGATTGTTAGGATTAAGGGACATAGTAAAGTTTCCCTCATGGACAAAAAAAAGAGCTGAGAACAGCAGGGTTTTTTCTTAGGTTTGTTTGGGATGCAAAGCAAATTTTTTGAGGTAGGAATTCTTCAGCAAGTGAAGCATGAAATGCTGCCAAATGCCATCAGAGCTCACAGACAAAGATGGGCTTAGCTACTAACTGACCTTGCTAATAAAGCAGATTTTGGAAAAGTGGCTGTTTTTTATAATTTCACTTTTGTATTTGGTGATCAGAAGTTATCTTCTTCTGTGAAGTTCATAAATGAAAGGAAATCCCTTCTTCTGTGGAGGCTTTTGTTACAAAGTAGAAGGCCAGTCAAGGAATTTACTCACAACCCCGGTTGTTGCACATGAATATAGCAGCAGTATTTAGTGAATTTGTACTGTAGGAAGCTTTTTAGTCTGTAGTGGTGAAAAGACATCTTAGGTTGGGGTGGTCAAGGCATCACAGTGCATGATGCAGTTCCTGGGTTCAATTCTAGACTGGGATGTCCTCCTTGTATTCATGTGGGTTTTCTGTGGACACTCCTGTTTCCTTTGTGGGCTCCCACAGTTCAAAGACTTGCTGTCCCTAAATTGCCCCCAGATGTGAATAAATATACAATGGACTGGCCTTGCCTCTAATTTCCCAAAACATGCTAATAACAAACTAGGCCCATGAAATGGCTGTATTAAAGAATTCATGCTCTGGAAAGTTCAGATATATTAAGTTATATTAATCTGGGATTTTCTGCTCTCCAAAATAATGTCTGCTAATCACGTTCGGGGCATTAGGTGCAGTTTGACACTTTTTAAAGAGATTGTTGCAGATTCAATAATTTAATATCAGCAACTATAGAGCTCTGCAGTGGACTCCTGACTAGGACATACAGTGCCTTGCGAAAGTATTCGGCCCCCTTGAACTTTTCAACCTTTTGCCACATTTCAGGCTTCAAACATAAAGATATAAATTTTTTATTTTATG